CTTGTTTGAAGAGATGTGCTTTACTGATATACAGTGGCTATGACCCCTAAGTTTAAAGTTATTATTATTATTATTTTTAAAGATTTTATTTATTTATTTGAGAGAGAGAGAGAGACAGCGAGAGAGGGAACACAAGCAGGGGGAGTGGGAGAGGGAGAAGCAGGCTTCCTGCTAAGCAGGGAGCCCGATGCGGGGCTCGATCCCAAGACTCTGGGATCATGACCTGAGCCAAAGGCAGCCACTTAACCGACTGAGCCACCCAGGCGCCCCTGAAGTTATTATTATTAAATAAGTATTTAAAATAGTATGTATTTATTTAACTTGAGAGTTTGAGAGAACAGTCAGTGGAGTTAAAACAAATAGGAACTTTGGAAAGAGATAATAAAAATTACTTTGAAGTGTATACATAAGATCCTTGGAGTCAGTAGTAAATAAAGTTTTCCAGAATGGTTTGATTTTTCTGTGAGAAAACATGCCAGACAACTTAATTTATTTTAAATGGGAAGAATGTACACCCACATACTTCGTCATTGCTTGTCACATTTCCACATCCGTCTGTGCCTGGTTTTCGGGTCCCATCTGGACAGATGGCAGTAATATTAAAATAGACGCCTTTTACCTGGTTTTCCACCTGAACTTTCACTTCTGAAATGAGTTTCTGCAGAGACATCATTTTTTGATTGTATATCACAAAAGTTTCAAACGTAAGCAATTAAACAGAGGCAAGCTTATTAAACCATTCTAGATTTAATTTTTAACTAAATCAAAGTCTGTCTCTATAAAAGGATAAATAAATGTGGTGTTTCCACATAATGACCCAATTATATTTGAGATACATAAGAAATACTGAGGGATTAGACCATCTGCATTTAAATTGTTCTATTTTTTCACATATTTCCATGACTGTGCATTTTGATGACTTTAAAGATATTTCTCACTCAGCCTGTTACAAAAATAGTCATTTTAAATCCAACAATATTTATATTTTGTGACAAAATTTAAATAAAACATTGAGAACACCTATATTGTCACAAAGGGTAAATCTTAACAGCTTAAAATCTGGAACACATTTCTGACATTTACACTATTAAATAAACATTTCCATTTCAAACACTTTAGGCTATCATGAAAGCTAAAATACCTTAGTGATACAGCATTGAAAGGTAAATTTTGGGGAGGGCATTTCTATACTGTAGGCATAAGAATTACCTGCCTGATATGGTCCTGTAAATTCTCCAAGAATGGTGACTAACATAACAGAAAAAAAATAAAAAAAAGGAGTGGCCTACAATTTTTGCCAAGTCCCTGGGGCTTGCTTGTGTCAAATTTGGTCTAACCCTTAATACTGAAATGGGACCACTTACTAGACAGAAAATCATTCACTCATTCATTCATTTTTTCAATTACTCAAAAAAATATCTGTGTAAAACTTATGTATCAAGCACACACAGATTTCTTCCAGCACAGTCTCTGGTTCCAAAATTTCTGGCTACATTAAATATATACTGAAGATCTGTGTGTATTTCATCTCATAAAACGGTCTACCACATGCAAAAATCCTTAACTTATATTTGTAAACAAAAAAGATGAAGTATATACCTAAGGAAAGAGTGAGTAGCAGGATATGAAGAAAAAATATTTTCTAATGGCTTCTAATTTTTTACTTGAGTAAATTTTCATCTTCAACTGTATAATCGATAAAGAGATGTGTGCTTACTGCCTGATAGTTGACCATGGTGGTAAATCTAGAACAAGATACTTCTTCAAATTAGTAAATTTTATTTGGATTAGATAAGACTGTGTTAGCCACATTTTTAAATCTCCCAGAGAGCTCATCCATTGTAATCACTTAATTGAACATTCTCAGCAAACCAACAGAAACTTGTAATGGTATATAAATGGTGTTGATAGGGTGATGGTTTGACAGATCGGAAGGAAATTCCTAATACAATGAGTGTCTCACTTTGCCCTTCCGAAGTTCTTTCTCTTAAAAAGTTAACCTTGTTACACTAATGTTTTTCACTTAAGCAGGGTGTGAAGACAAATATCTAAAATTTTGCCCAGTTTTGAGATTTAGAAATTAGGCTCCAAACACAATATTAAGTTTCCTTTTTAATATCTAACAAGTACAGAGGCAGAATTTATTTTTTTAATGTATAATTCTGTTTGTATTCAATATAATTTACTTTTCATTTCTTAATTTCAGCTTAATTTTTTTGTCATGATTTTTATTTAATTTAATAAAAAATAAAATGCAGTCACATTCACCATGCACTAAATTTATATGTGATTTTATAAAATTCTTAAAAAGGAAATGCAAAAAATTAGAAGTTAGAATGAAATTTTTTTATTATTTTTCTTCAATGAATTGTGAATTATTTCTGTTGGACTGTGAAGACAAAATAAAATTTCAGAAGAATTTTGAAAATATACATATACGTAAAATAACAGAATCTCAACTTAAGGAGATTAATTAGCCAGAGTAAGTCTTACTGGATTTGCCAGTATTTTCCCATTGTTTAAGATTAATCAGAACTGCAGTTAGCCAAAGCACTGAATACCTATCCTGGGCAAATAAAGAACATAAAACCAAATGCTGCTGGTTCCCTTTCCATTAGTACAGTCTGACACACAGGCAAGTTTGTCAATTTATGTTCCTTGTTTGGAGTAATAAATGGGTTCATACTATAAAAATAAAAACTATGGTGATTTCTAACACTGCACATTCCCTCCTTATTTTGATTATTCCTAGGAACAAACTGCAGATGGGAATGAAGTGTACACGTTTCATCTTCCTTGATAAGAAGCTCCCCCCAGTCCTAATGTTCTTTTGTAACAGTGACAAACAAAAATAAAGATGGTCTTCTTTATTTCATCCAACATAGTTTTCAAATAAAGAACAATTCCTTGGCAAAAAAAAAAAAAAAAACCTCACAAGATTTATTTTTCTTTTAAAAGAATAAAGTTTAAACAAGTCCTTCATTTTCTATCCCATGTCTACTTCCTGACTTTCCCTTTTGTGCTCAAGTAGAAGGCAGATGTTGCACAGAGAAAATAAGAGAAGCCTGAGGTTGTTCACAATGCTTGGGCTACTGTGTACACTATTCATCTCTACTGTGTAAGAAAGAGAACCAGAGAATTTGGGAAGTGAGACTTAATCAGTGGTCCATAAGTTCAAGGTAGAGTAAAGCATACTTTTGGATAGTTTGTAAAAAAAAAAAAAGCAAAGAAAAAAAAAGAAAGAAAGAAAAACAAGTGTTATCACACAGAAGGAAGCACCTGAGGCCTAGAGTTAAGAAAGACCTGGGTTCTGGTCCTGATCCTTTTGCTTGTTTGACCTTTGGTTAGCTTGCTTAGCTTCTTTGAGGTTCTATAAATACAAAATGGGAGTACTAACATCTTCCTTATGGATTGGCTGTGTGGATTAAATGAGGTCACGTATGGAAAGTAACTGCTTCTGGGTGGTATTAAAGTAACAATCACAATTATTACAACATTTTAACAGTGATTATTCTATCCAAGAATGACCTACGCTGAGAGAGCTGATGTTTCTATAAATCTTTGCATTTGGCACTCACTCTTCATAGACTAGGGACAGCATACAACTGTCAATTCAATAAAATAGTATACCTCTTAAGGTGATTGTTTTAATCAAACTAGTTTGATAACACTGCTAAAATAACTGATTAAACAATCAAGTGATTAATCTAGGAGACCCCAACAGAGTCCTCTCAGTAATCTCTATATCCCAGATAGGTCATTTTCAGAAGACAGTTTGCTGCTTTAAATAGTGTGGATTTCTTTATCTTTATGACATAGGAAATTGTGACATTTCTGATAATAAAGTATGTTTTATAGCCATGATTTGGTGACTAATGGAACATTTGGTTTAGAAGAAAATTTAGATAGGCTCTAGCCCAACTTGAGTTTACTGTCAATGAGATGGTGAAGTTAAAGAAAGCTCAAGTGAATTTCCCAAGGTTACATGGCTAGTTAGTGATAGAACCAGGGCTAAATTCATGTTAATTTTTAACCTAATTTTCTGCCCACCATTCCGCTCAAGATGATAGGGCACTAATTTGTATCTTGCCATAGAAACTGGGGTTAAAAGTTTACACAGACCTGTACCTTTGAAACAAATAATACATTATATGTTAAAAAAAAAAAGAAGAAGAAGAAGATAGTAGGAAGGGAAAAATGAAGGGGGGGAAATCGGAGGGGGAGATGGACC